TGCTTCCCACAGATATGTGCTCGGCACGAGGCCGAGTGCACGATGGAGTTGTTCAACTTCATCTACCAGATCAAGGTTCTCCCGGGCCGCTATGGGGGTGGGTTCCTGATGCTGCAATCCCGGGCAGATATGTGCTCGATCAGAGGCTTGCCCGGGAACAACAAGGGGTGGAAAAACAGGATTTTCTCCATCAAGTACGAGCCCTGGGTCTTCCCGGTTGACCGCACTTGGAGCACCCACTTTCGAAAACAAGTGGTGCCGGACGCGACCCAGGCGCTCAAGGAAACGGTCTCCCGGATCTCGAGCGAGCTGCATGAGTACACCATCTTCCGGACGGCCGAGAGCCTGGAAGCCGCCAAGCTCCCGCCCCCCACGTACGAGCTACGGGAGAAGTACCTGCCCGTTCCGATGGGCGTGACGGTCGCCAAGCCGTCCAAACGAAAGAAGAAAGGTTTGCCACGAGCTACTTCCCTCGACCTTGCTGATTATCTCGATCTGACTAACTTCTTGTTTTGCAGCTATGGCCGAGTTCGGTGATGAAGACACCGCCCTTCCCCCACCCGTCAAGATCTCGCTCGGCGGGAAGAAGAAGGCCAAGACCAAGGCGGCCGGGGAGAAGGAGATCCCATCTGCCCGACCTCTGAGCGCCTCAACCATGACGACGGGCGAGGGCTTCATCGTGGAACAGCCCGATGTCTTGGTTACCCGGGTGGAGGTCGCCCGGGGCAAGGAGAAGGTCGCCGACCAGGGCGCGACCGAGGCGGGCGGCCTGAAGCGCCGCCGCGAGCAACACAGCCCGACCCCTTCGGCCGGGCGGGAGAGGGAGACTACATCCGTGCTGGCACGGATCGGCAATGCCGCGCCAGCCCGAGCGGACCTGGGGAAGATGACCCCGACCCAGGTTGCTGAGCGGATCGGCTACGATCTTGCTGAGGTAAGTCCCAACTTTTAATCTTTCTTTGCCCAAGTATCGTTGATCGGGCTAATCTTGAATATCCTCTTTGTATTGCAGATCTCCCGGGCGACCCAACTTCTTCAGGGTCAAGCTATGCTGGCCGAGGAGGCTGATCACCACAAGAAGACGGCCGCTCGTCGTCTGAAGGAGATCAAGGAACTCCAGGCCGAGCTGGAGAAAACGCAGAAGGCCCTGAAGAAGGGTGGCGAGGAGCGGGTGCTGTCCGAGAAGGTCGCCAGCCGGGCGATTGGGGAGGCCAAGGAGCTGAAGGCTCAGCTCGAGAGCCCGAGCGAGCTAGCGCGAGCAGCCTTCAAAGATAAGGACCTGGGCTCGGCCTTCCTCACAGAAGCCCGGGGAACAGCGATCGGTGAAGAACTGATCGTCTCGTTCGGCCGCTGGGGTTTCACGGCCGGGAAGCGGAAGATGCTCGAACGAGTCCGCACCCGGTTGGAGCAGGCTTTGGACGGGGAGGACCTCCAGCTGGTCCTCTCGGTCTTGCCCCCAGACCTAGCCGATCCCGGTCCCTCTCCCTTCGCCCCGAAGGCCAAGGCGTCCGACCCCGGGGCATCGTCGGCGGCCCCTTCGAGCGGGAAAGAAGCAGCTGCTGGAGCTCGGGAGGCGAAGGAGTAGACTAGGCTGTCTCCCCTTTTTGTAATGATGATCGATCGGGAGCCCGGTCCCGAATTGTACCGGGCACCTTTTGTTACTTAATACAATTTTATTTTTGCTCTATCTCGCGCCGCTCGCCTTTTATTTCCTTGCTTTTCAATTTGCACACACTGATCTTAATCACTCGACCACTTGGCCTTTAGGCCCGGTCTCGCGATACTCGATCCACCCAACGCCCGACCTTACGACCTTATGGCCTGGTCGTGCGTTCGATGCTTCGACTTCAAAACTGGCCAACCGATCGGGTTTACCCGATCTCCAGGCCTTTGCCGAAAAAATTTTCAAGCCTCTACGGTCGGAATGTAACCGAGCGACGGGCCGAGAACAAGCAAGCCTCTACGATCGGAATGTAACCGAGCGACGGGCCTTGTGTACTTCCTTATCCCAGCCCCCACACTATTGTGCCTACGAGGCCCGAGTGGGTGCGATAGTGGACAGAAGTTGGACGGATCGGGGAATAATGCCGAGAGCTCCTGGCTTCCCCGATCGGTGGCGTGACTTGAGTGTCCGCCTATGTGGAGCGCGTTTTGACCGGTCGACAGACTTCGCCCGATCGATTGAATGTTGAACTGATCTGCTCATGACGAGGGTGAAAGAAAATAACCGATCGCGCCGCCGCATACAAACGGTCGAGCAATCATCGATCGTATATACATTAAACTTTCCCGCTCGCAGGCGGTTGAATTAATTTTACAACCATAAAATTTACATAGAAATGACGACCGGGACTAACTCGCAGGTCCAGCCCCCACTTCGTCTAAAAATACAAAAAATAGGCTAATGCCTAAAAAGAACGAGGTGCTCGGAATTCCAAGTCCCCTCTATTAGCCGACCCGTCGTTGTCTCTAGTCGGTATGTCCCCGGCCGGACGACAGCGTTGATGATGTACGGCCCTTCCCAGTTCTGAGCTAGCTTTCCCCCTTCTAAAGGTTGACTGGCCTCCCTTCGTCGTAAGACATAATCTCCCACTTGAAAATAACGAGGGTTGACCCGAACGTCCTTCGAGCTCTTGACGCGCTTCTGGTACTCGGCCATACGCCGAGCGGCTAGCTCTCTTTTTTCTTCGACCGCATCGAGATCCACAGCCATGGCATGTTCATTGTCCTCCGCGTTGTAGGTTCTCTCTCGATCGGTCGGGATCCAAGCCTCGATCGGGAGTCGGGCTTCAGCTCCGTAAACCAGGGCGAAAGGGGTCTCCAAAGTAGCTTCCCTCGGGGTCGTCCGATAAGTCCATAAGACATATGGCAACTCATCGGCCCAACTACGACCGGCCGAGTGTAACTTCTTTTTCAGACCTTCCAAAATCGTCCGGTTAGCATTTTCCACTTGTCCATTTCCCTGCGGGTAAGCGACAGACGACCGGACATGAGTCGTCCCGATCGTAGCCAAGAAATTCTGAAAATATTGGCTCACAAATTGGCGACCGTTATCGCTGATGAGATGTACGGGCACGCCAAAACGGGAAACGACATTGCGCCAAAGGAACCGAGCACACTGCTGAGATGTGATCGTGGCTAAGGGCTCGGCTTCTATCCACTTAGAGAAGTAATCAACGGCGACGATCACGAACCTTCTTCGACCGGACAGCTGAGGAAAGGGGCCCAAAATATCTACCCCCCACCTAGCGAAAGGAACTGCGGTCGTGACAGGCTGGTAGAACGTTGCCGGTCGTCCAGGCATCCGGGCGTACAGTTGGCACGTTTCACATTCCCGAGCTAACTTCTCACAGTCTAGGTGGAGGGACGGCCAATAGTACCCGATCAGCATGATACGACGGGCCAGGGATCGACCTCCCTGGTGTGAGGAGCAGATTCCCGAGTGAAGCTCCTTCATCACTAAATCCGCCTCAAACGCGGTCAGGCATCGCATGAGAGGGCCTCCATACGATCGTCGATATAGACGATCGTTCACAACTTGGAACCTCGGGGCTCTCAGCTTAGCTTTTCGAGCACGTTGCGGGTCGTCTGGGAGTCGACCGTGCTCGAGATACTCCTTCAGATCGGTGATCCAGCTATCTTCCACCGGTTGGATTGGATTGACCGGCAAGCGATGGATACTGTGTTTGGGGATCACCAAGATCCGAGCTATCTTCGACATGTGTTCCGGGGCATCTTGGGCCAATTTGGACAAGATATCCGCATCGGCGTTATCCAATCGGGGTATATGTCGGACGGTGTACCCCCGGAACTGTGCAAGCTTCTCCATGGCGAGGTCTCGGTATAGCTGTAAACGTTCTCCGTTAACCTCATAATCTCCGAGAACTTGCCCGACCACGAGCGCAGAATCTGTTTGGGCTCGGATGTATTCAGCCCCCAAATCCCGAGCGCATTGCAAGCCATTTACGAACGCCTCATACTCGGCTTCGTTGTTGGTCGGGTTGAACTGGTACATGAGAGCAAAATAAACTTTGAATCCTTCTGGGCTCGTGATTACTACCCCTCCTCCTGCTCCTTTTTTGCTGCTTGACCCATCAGTAGCCAGCGACCACCACTCGGCCTCGGGATCTGCAACCTCGGGGGGTCGAGTATCCCGGGCGGTGCATTCGACCAAGAAGTCAGCAAGGGCTTGACCTTTGATAGCAGGTCTTGGTCGGTATTCGATCGCGTACTGGGTCAACATTAACGCCCACTTGACTAGGCGGCCTGATGATGAAGCGGTTCGGAGGACTGGTCCGATCGGCTGATCGGTCAAAACGCGGATCGCTCGACCTTGGAAATAAGGAGCCAACTTCTTCGCGGCTATATACAAGGCATAGACGACCTTCTCCAACCGGGAGTACCGGAGCTCGGGACCATGCAGCGCGTGGCTTACATAGTACACCGGTCGCTGGACCCCTTCCGGATCGGTTCGGCACAATACTGCGCTTACTGCACGATCGGAGACGGCGAGGTACACGTCTAGCTCTTCTCCGAGCTCGGGCTTTGAGAGCACAATAGGTGACATGAGGTACTCCTTCAACTCGTCAAAAGCTGCTCGGCACTCTTCGTCCCAGACGAACCCATTAACTTTCCGCAATACCTTGAAGAAAGGTAAAGCGCGCTCGGCTAACTTGGAGAGGAACCGGCTAAGGGCTGCCAACCGACCGGTCAATTGCTGGACTTCCCGAACGGTAGAAGGTGGTTGCATGTCCAGAATCGCTTTAACTTTGGCCGGGTTGGGCTCAATTCCTCTCTTGGTCATCATGTAGCCGAGGAACTTGCCGGTCTGAACCGCGAATGTACACTTGGTCGGGTTCAGCCGCAACTGGTACTTCCTCATGATCTGGAAGCACTCCCGGAGGTCCCGAGTATGGTCGGACCGGTCCCGACTCTTGACCAGCATATCATCAATATAAGCCTCCATCGTCCGGCCCAATAGATCGGCGAAGAGCATATTGACCATCCTCTGGTAGGTCGCTCCTGCATTCCGGAGGCCGAACGGCATCACTCGATAGCAATACAGCCCGTCCGGGGTTACGAAGGCTGTCTTGCTCTCGTCTTCATGGTGCATCATTATTTGGTGATATCCCTTGAAGGCATCCATGAAGCTCATCAACTCGGCCCCGGCCGTCTCGTCGACCATTTGATGAATGCTCGGTAATGGGTACGGGTCGAGCGGACAGGCCTTGTTGAGGTCCGTGAAGTCTATGCACATCCTCCAAGCTGGGGGCTTTGGAACTAGAACAATGTTTGCCACCCACTCGGGGTAAATAACCGGGCGGATGTGCTCGATCGCCGCCATTTTCTTGACCTCCTCTCTGACAAACTCGCGGCGATCGGAAGATAGGTGTCGTGTCTTCTGCACGACCGGCTTCGCTGCGGGATCGACGGCTAGCTTATGGCAAATGACCGATCGATCGATCCCGGGCATGTCCTCGGGTCCCCACGCAAAAATATCAGCGTACTCCCTGAGTATGCTCAGAACCGCTGCTCGGAGCTCGGGGGTGAGGGCCCGGCCAATTTTAATCTTCCTATCCGGGCGGTCCTCGGACAGGGGAACTTCTTCTATCTCCTCGGAAGGTTCGGGTTGCTCCTTCCGTACTTTAGCCTCTTCCTTGGCTATAGTATTCACCCGGGAAGACGGACCGGAATCGCGTCTGTTGACCGCTCGAGTGTAGCACTTCCGGGCGGACTGGACATCGCCACGGACCACACCGACCCCATTGGGGGTGGGAAATTTCATGCAGAGATGGGGCATGGAAATTATCCCCCCGATCTTCATGATGGCGGGTCGGCCCAAGATTATGTTGTGGACACAATGGAGGTTGACCACAACAAACTCCAGCTCCGTCTTGATCGACTTTGGAGGCGTGCCAATCTCTACGGGGAGCATTATCTTTCCCTCGGGGTAGATCAAGGCCCCGGTAAATCCCGACAGTGGTACACCGACCGGAGTCAGCTCCTTCCTGTCGAGGCCCAGCTTCTCGAAGACGTCCAAGTAAAGGACGTTCACACTGCTGCCCGTGTCCACCATAACCCTTTGGACATCCGTCCCCTTGACATCGATCGTGACCACCAGCGCCTCCATGCCGTGGTCGCTGCTGCTAGGTTGGTCCTCAAGGGTGAAGGTTATGGGCTCCATTTTTTGTCTTTTCCCGGTCTCTCGGGAATCCACGATCGCAATCGGGCAATTCGTCCTCGATCGAGATGCATCTTCTAGCCCACCAAATATGACATGGATGGTGGGCTTGCCGACCGGGCGACTGCTGGTCGGGGGATCGGGGTCCCGTCGGTCTTCATGACGATCGTCCCTTCGATCGTCTCTTCGGTCCTGACCCGACCGATCGGAGCGGTGATGAGATCGCCTGTGATCCCTCCGTTCGGTATTCCTCTTGCTTTCCTCTCTCTTCCCCACGCACTTGTCCAATTTTCCCAAATTGAGCAAATCTTCCAGCAACTGGCGCAAGTGGGTACACTCCTCGGTGTCATGCCCGGCGCATCGATGGTAAGCACAATGCTTACTCTTATCAGGGCCGTCTCGATCGGGATGGGGGAGTTTGATGAGATTGCAGGACTGAGCGTACTGCATGGCCTCCGCCGCGGATCGGTTTAAGGCCGTAAACTCGCCAGGCCTGGTGCGGGATCGGGGATGGTCATCTCCCGACCGATGTTCTGCCCGGCCGGCCGGTTTACGGGACGAAGAGCCGACCTCCTGCAAGCGCTTGACGGCATTCGCCTCACCTGCGTTGGCGTAATCAGTGACCCTTCGGAGGGCCTCCTCATACGTGGTCGGGGGGTGGAGGATAAAATCCTGGTATAGATACCCCGCCCGGAGGGAGATGTGAAGCATGTGAATGGCGGTCGCATCATCCATGGGCTCAACCTCCCCGACCGCTGCCTTCCACTTGATGAGGAAGTCGGTCAAGCTTTCCCCTTCGAGCTGCTTGGCCTTTTCGAGGTACATATAAGACTTCCTCACCACTTTGGACGTAACGAACTTCCGTACAAACTTGATCGCCAGGGTCTCAAATTTGTCGATTGACCCCGGCTGCAGGGTTCGGAACCACTCTGCTGCCCGGCCGGTGAGGGTTGAGTAGAAGGCCCTGCACATCACGGCGTCTGAAACGCCCTTCAACATCATGTTGCTGAAAAAATCATTCACGTGCGCCTCCGGGTCTGTCCGACCGTCGTAACTCTTCTCTCCCGAGACCTTTAAGTCGAGCGGGTAAGGCTGAGCCATTACCGCTGCTGTGAAAGGCGTCTGGTGTAGGGTCGATCGGTCGGCCGGGGGTGCTGTAGGATACGCACTCCTGAGCTGCGCAACTTCAGCCTGGAGGTTGTAGAGCAATCCTCGGGTTTCGTTGAGCTCGGCGTTCTGGGCGGCTTGGGCTGTATCCCGAGCGCGTCGACGTCGATGTGATCTCGACCCGCTGTACCCGGACGAAGCCTCGTGGCTAGCTTCCTGCATTTGTACGTCCTCTTGCCTGGGATTCGGGCCCTGGGGTCCCAGACGCTGGCGCATCTCTGGTCGGAGGCGATCGAAAGCTACCGCACGGGCAACCTCCTCGGGGTCCTCCGCTTGAACGGCCTGAGTTGGTGCCTCCATCGCATCGGCACCCCCCGACCCCAACCGCGAATGAGCCGAGCGTCGAGCCCGGGAAGTGGACTGACGCTGCGGCTCTACCTGTGCGATCGGTGGTACTGGAGGGGCGGCGGCTGGAGCTGTATAGGCAGGCGTATATGGTGGATAACCGACCGGGGAAGGGTAGCACATCGGTTGGCCTGGCCAGTACCCGTATGGTGGAGGTGAGACCGGGTACGGGTACTGGGCGGGATACATCATCGGCTGCTGCTGGTATGGCAGACCGGGTGGTGGGTATCCCGGTTGGATGTAGTTGACCGGCTGTTGGGCGGCCGGGTAAGCATTTGACGGATGCGGTGGTGAAAGGTTGAGGTTGAGGTCCATCGTCTGACCCTGCTGTTGGGTAGCGTAGTGGTCGGAGGAGCTCGCTGCATCCGCCTGGTCGTCGGCGAAGTTGTTGTGTGCCCACGGATACATGCTGGTATGGTGATCGGGTGCTCGTCAAGACGTTGGCTTGTTGCACGGATCCCCACAGACGGCGCCAAAATGATATTGCTAACTCTATGTAAGCAATATAAATAACACAAGACCAATTAAAGCAGATAAAGTTTTATTGATCAAGGTAAAGTTCCTAAGTACAATCTACTTGGTTGCTCTGAGTACCGACTGAGTGCGGTCGGGATTCTCTAATAACAACCTATCGATCGTCCAAAAGTCCCCTACACTGTAGCTACTGTGGGCATTTATAGCCGCTGTGCCGGAGACAAGATCCCAGCTGCTCGGCATGTCTTCCACGTAGCTACCACGTGCCATCCTCCTGGGTGCCCTGCCTGTCGATGTAAAGAGCCGCCACGTGTCTTTAATCAGCTCTCTCGCCGAAGGACTACCGCTCGGGGTTGACACCCTCGCTCGGGCGACTCCCGGTCGGTTCCCGACCGGGTTCTTCTCACGGAGCCCGACCTGTTACCTGCAAAGACAAGGAGAAAGAGACAAAGACTCCTCGGTCGTGGTGAAGCTATGTCGGTCGGGATATTCCCTACCAATATCTTTTAAATATTAACTATTTTAATTATATTCTATTTTGTTAAGTTTTGGCCTATTCACTCGTTAGTCCCCGCGTGATGCTTGCACAATTATACACCCGGAATTGCGTATATATACATATATATATATATATATATATATATATATATATATATATATATATATATGTATGTATGTATGTATGTGTGTTTGTATATGTAAAGAGAAGAAAAAGGAGGAGAAGAAGAACACCAAGTTATAGTATAACCATCATGTAAGTGTGTCCCTTTCATTCATCTTCACTCACTTTATATAGTGGTCATATACAACCTTTCAAGTACACAACATCAATACATGATTAAATGATAAACATCAATAAAGGTAGACAAAGTCTTTTCAATTAAGTCTGTCTCTGAAACTTCTTGTTTGCAGAGCTTTAGTTGCGAGACTATCTTATGAAGGGCCGAGTTGTAGTCAATAACTGACTTATAGTCCTGAAACCTCAGGTGAAGCCAGTCAAATTGGGCTTGAGGGAGGACAATCGATGACTGTTGGTCAAAGCGGTCCTTCAGGGACTCCCATAATGCTAAAGGGTCCTTTTCAATCAAGTATTCATTTTTCAGGTCGTGGTAGAAGTCACGGTCGAAACAATCGAAGTGGTAAAGGCAAAGGCAACAATGACTCCCGGGCCCAAGATAAGAAACAAAGTGATCAAGGTTTATCAAGGTCACAAACATGTTATCGGTGTGGATGTACGGGACACTGGTCTCGTACATGTCGTACACCAAAGCATCTGGTTGAAGCTTACAAAATGACGCAAAAGAAAAATGATAAGCAAATGAAAGGTCTAAATAGTTTAATGGCCATAAATATAAATATTTACAACACTCCCCCTTGGCCATTAAATAATTATACTCATGCCTCGTTAAAAACCTCGCTAGAAAAACCCTGTGGGAAAAACCTAGTCGAGAAAAAGAGTACATGTAATATCAATCATGTGTTGCATCGGTTGCCTCGTTAAAAACCTTAGCCTAAGAAAAACCCAGTGGGAAAAAAAACTTAGCTAAGGGAAAAAGAGTACAACCATAAGCCTTCTGGGCATCATCTTCAGGATTTAAAAGTCTCCTAGACCGAGTTTATCGCTCCCCCTGAAGACAACAGTCTTCCTAGACTCCGCATCCCAATTTTATAAACATACTTCTCAAAAGTGGATGTAGGCAGGGACTTAGTGAACAAATCTGCCAGATTTTCACTAGAGCGAACCTTTTCAATGAGTATTTCACCACTCTTCTGGAGTTCATGTGGGTAAAAGAACTTAGGAGCAATATGTTTAGTAAGACCTCCTTTAACGTACCCATTACTCATCTGTGCAACACATGCCGCATTGTCCTCATATAGGACAGTCGGGGAATCAACATTGCTCATTGTTCCGCATGAGCGATGAATATGCTGTATCAGTGATCTCAACCATACGCATTCGCGTGCGGTTTCATATAAAGCAATTATCTCCGAGTGATTAGATGAGGTAGCAACTAAGGTCTGTTTAATGGACCTCCAAGATATAGCTGTACCTCCACAAAGAAAAACATAACCAGTTTGCGATTTAGCAGTATGAGGGTCAGACATATAACCAGCGTCTGAATACCCTTTCAAAGTAATGTCCTGGTTGTTTTCAAAATAAAGACCAAGGTCTTTTGTCCCTTGGAGATATCTAAAGATATGCTTTATTCCACTCCAATGTCTTCTGGTCGGAAATGCACTAAATCTAGCAAGTAAATTCACTGAAAATGCAATATCAGGTCTTGTACAATTAGCTAGGTAAAGCAAGGCTCCAATAGCACTTAGGTAAGGAACTTCAGGTCCTAGAACCTCCTCATTATCCTCCTTAGGTCTAAATGGGTCCTTTTCCGCTTCAAGGGACCGGACCACCATTGGGGTGCTAAGGGGATGAGATTTATCCATATAGAATTTCTCCAATAATTTATTAATGTAGTTAGCTTGGTGAATGAAAATTCCATTTGGAAGATGCTCGATCTGCAGGCCGAGGCAGAACTTGGTTTTTCCCAAGTCTTTCATTTCGAATTCTGATTTTAAGCATGAACATGCTTCTATAAGGTCTTCCTTTGTCCCAATAAAGTTCATGTCATCGACATAGACAAATATAATGCAGAAGCCATTAGATGACTTCTTAATGAATATACAAAGGCAAATATCATTTTTAACATATCCCTTCTTCAGGAGGAATTCACTCAGATGGTTATACCACATTCTACCAGATTGCTTCAAGCCATATAATGACCTTTGAAATTTGATGCTATACATGTTTCGATCTTTATCCCTCATATTGGAATTTTGAATACCCTCGGGTATTTTCATGTATATATCAGCATCTAGTGACCCATAAAGGTAAGCTGTCACTACATCCATCAACTACATATCTAATTTCATACTTACTGCCAATGATATTAAATAGCGGAATGAGATGCCATCAATAACAGGAGAGTATGTTTGATCAAAATCAATTCCGGGTCTCTGCGTGAACCCCTGAGCTACCAATCTCGCTTTATATCTAACCACCTCATTGTTTTCATTCCTCTTCCGTACGAATACCCACCTGGATCCTACTGGGATCACATCTTTTGGGGTAAGTACGGTGGGACCAAAAACTTTTCTTTGATTAAGCGAGTTGAGCTCTGCCTCAATTGCCTGTTTCCACTTCAACCAGTCAGAGCGCTTCAGGCACTCGGTTATTGACTTTGGTTCTGGATCCAGATTATTTTGTGGAATATTACAGGCAACTGCATAGGCAAAAGTGTCGTCGACGACTATTAAATCTCTGTTATATGTTTCTCCTGTATCAACAAAATTTATGGCCGTCTCTATATTGACATCAACCAGATCATCGTCATTTCCCAAAATATTTTGATCTGGATGTTCCGCATTCCCAGTGTTCGTATTATTTAGAGCACGTGCAGGTTCACTGGGTTCTCCGTCTTCGGGACGATCGTCTTCAGGACGGTTAACATTTTTTTGGAGTGACTGAGATATTTTACCAATTCTCGTCTTCCGTGGATTTAAATCTTTTGCACCAAGTGGTCTCCCGCGCTTTTGGCGATGGGGAGTGTCAGTGTGCATACTTGGCCCCACGGGGACTTCAACTCTCGAAGGAGCATTGACAGCAGGGATATGTGACCTAGTCACTCCTCTGTTATCAGTAAAAGCATCTGGCAGGTTATTTGCTAAATTTTGCAAATTAATAATTTTCTGAACTTCTAGTTCAGTTTGACTAGTACGTGGGTCTAGATACTGAAGATCCTTTTCATCCCATGAGATTTCTCGGCATTTCGTTAAATAAGGTCTTTTATCTCCCCATAATGCCGGGAAATGATCTTCATCAAAAATGCAGTCAGCGTACCTCGCGGTAAACTGATCTCCTGTCATGGGCTCTAGGTATTTAATGATGGAAGGAGATTCATAACCAACATATATACCTAGTTTTTGTTGCGGGCCCATGGAGGTACGATTTGTAGGTGGTATGGGGGTATAAACTGCACACCCAAATACACGCAGATGGGAAATGTTAGGTTCTACGCCACGTAGTAGTTGCAAGGGGGAATAATCATGATATGCACTAGGTCGGATTTGAATTAAAGCTGCAGCATGTAATACTGCGTGTCCCCAACATGAGACTGGTAAACCAGACTTCTGCAGTAATGGTCTAGCGATTAATTTAATACGCTTAATCAGAGACTCAGCCAAACCATTCTGAGTATGGACATAAGGTACAGGATGCTCCACTTTGATGCCCAAGGCCATACAATAATCATTGAAAGCCGTTGATGTGAATTCTCCAGCATTATCCATTCTTATTGATTTAATGGGATAATCTGGGAATTGGGCATTCAACTCAATAATTTTCGCAACAAATTTAGCGAAAGCTTTGTTCCTCGTGGATAGTAGACTAACATGAGTCCAACGAGTGGAAGCATCAATAAGGACCATAAAATATCTAAATGGTCCAGAAGGTGGACTAATAGGTCCACAAATGTCGCATTGCAATCTCTGCAGAAATATAGGCGATTCATGTCCAACCTTAGTACGCGACGGGCGTACAATATATTTACCTTTCGCACAAGCCACACATGTAAACATATTTGGCGAAAGTACCTGAGATCTAGACAGGTTATGTCCAGCAGAATTAGATATGATCCGGCCCATCATATTCTGCCCAGGATGACCCAGACGGTCATGCCACATTTGAAAAGAATGTGGATTTTTTAGTTTCATGGTAAGTGCCACAAATGAATCATTGGGTTGTATATAGGTATAATATAACCCAGAGGATAAAGAGGCAAGTTCCTCAACCTCCCGCTTTTGACCAGTGATCAACTGAGTCATGGTCAAGAACTCCTCTTTGTTCTTAGTCTTGGTTTCAATATGGAAACCATTTGAACGAATATCCTTGAAACTCAGCAAGGTTCGTTTAGATTGAGGGTACAACAAAGCATTTTCAATTAGTAACTTTGTACCCTTTGGGAGGATGATGGATGCTCTTCCGGAGCCCACTATTTGTACTTGATCATTAGAAATGGTAGTAATATTACTACTTGATTTGTTTAAGGTACGAAAAAACCTCATATCCGTTAGGATAGTATGCGTGGTTGCACTATCCACCAAACACAATGTTGGTTCATGCTCCATTGTGCGAACAACAACTTTGTAATGTTGTAAGATCTCCGGGTTTACTTCTCGAACAGTGGTTGTTCGTTACTAATTAACCAATGTCGTTCACCGAGATTGAGCGTGCTGATAACGTGTTAAGTTTTAGCCTATTCACTCGTTAGTCCCCGCGTGATGCTTGCACAATTATATACCCGGAATTGCGTATATATATATATATATATATATATATATATATATATATATATATATATATGTATGTGTGTTTGTATATGTAAAGAGAAGAAAAAGGAGGAGGAGAAGAACACCAAGTTATAGTATAACCATCATGTAAGTGTGTCCCTTTCATTCATCTTCACTCACTTTATATAGTGGTCATATACAACCTTTCAAGTACACAACATCAATACATGATTTAAATGATAAGCAAATGAAAGATCTAAATAGTTTAATGGCCATAAATATAAATATTTACAACATATCTTACGAATACCCTAAACTCAACAAATACTCTTTTATCCATCTAATTAAAATCAATTGAACCATCCACAAATGAATTGAAGTCATCTCCAGTTTAGTAAAACTTGACTGGTGTACGCTGTTTAGATTTTTGTCCAAGAAAATCAAATTGAAAATATAATTTTATCATTTATATATTAGCTATTTTGTTTAGATTTCTATTTAAAATAATTTTATCCATCAGAATAAGAACTAAATATGTCGATCACATTAGTGACTGATTAAGAAGTAATATTGTAACTTTATATTAATCAAAATGAAGAAAATCACATCTACATTATAATCCAGAGAATGAAATTGTAATTTTCTCTTATATTATTGTAAGAGCAAATATCAATTTTGGTCCCACGAGTATTATAAAAATGACAATTTTGATCCACATGTTTAATTCCTATCAATTTTCATCCACGACTATTGTGTGAGTACCAATTTTCATCCACGATTATTGTTTTAGTACCAAAATTCATCATGTCGGTCACTCATTCATTTTAAGACGTGCCGAAATCTAAATTTTAAGTGTATTTTCGTCTTTTTCAACTTAAGATCTCAATTTGAGCATGAATAGTGAGATTTAAGCCCAAAGATCGATCCTAATTCGCAGTTTTTCTCCGCATCTTACTTATTCTTACCTTAATTTGAGGAGGAGAACTGTGAATTGAGATCGATCTTAGGGTTTAAATTCATTTATTCATGCTCAAAATAGGATCTTAATTTGAAAAAAAACGAAAATACCCCTAATAATTTCATATTTCGGCATATCTTAAACGGAGGGGTGGCCGTTGTGATGAATTTTGGCACTAAAACAATAGTCGTGGATGAAAATTGGTAGTAAAATGATAATCGTGGATGAAAATTGGTAGAAATTAAACATGTGGACCAAAACTGTCATTTTGCTAATACTCGTGGTACCAGAATTGGTATTTGCTCGTTATTGTAATTATTTTCTTTAAAAAATTGTTTGGAGAAGAAGAAAGCTAAGAAGAAAAGATCATGAAGAACTGTAATCTCGTGCATGCGAAGCTGCCTTATGACAGCTAAGCATGAAGGGGTCCCACTAAAACATTAAATAACGTTAAACTCGACAAGAACAGACATCTGGATTTAACACGTAATCGTAGTGGCATACACTAAGACGACGACGACGATTCTCAGTTTTAGATTATAAAATTTCAAATAATATATATCCCATTGACCAAAATAACATAAATTTTGAGATTAAAAAAAAAAAATAGTATAAATTTAGAGGCCACGATGCAACGTTGAAAAATAAGAAGCAATATGACTCGTTAAAAGTCAACTCTTAAGACGTGACACTAGCCATCGAACTACAGAATTTGTGTGACAATATCAGCCAAGTTAGTCATACAATTAATTTAGAAATCAAAATATTTTCAATTTAACTCTTTGTAAAAACTTTATATTGGTATTCTTGATTTGAGCCAAAAAGCTATTACAACTTAAGTTAATTTACTTTCTAGTGATTCTTTGCCGACGACTAGGGTTACAATGCAAGGTTGACCTTTATCCAGAATGCACCTTCCAGTAGAAACTACAAATTTTCTCATAAATCTAAGCTTAAGTACATTGATATTATAGTGATCGATAGTATGTTAGCAAATATCAAATATGTGACCTTTAAATAAGATAATAATCATGTTCTACTTGTTCAGTCACGTACTATTTTTGGGGCTGGCAATGTTATATATATATATATATATATATATATATATATATATATATATGGTCAGGTTCCCGTGCTGTCGTACGGTCACGCACCATTACGTATGCAACACAAAGTGTTCGATGTGGTGCATTTATGCATACCTAATGGTGCAATTCGTATCGGCCACACGGGAAGCTCAGTCCTTGTTTTAACAAGTATATATATCAACTCAGAGATTGACGAAATAAGTGTTGGCAGGAACCCTGGGAGACTGGGAATTGGGTTGTTGAGAATTGGAATTGAATTGGTCGTTGAGGATTTATTTTTCTGTTTTTATTTTTGTTTATTTTTATTGTTTTTAGGTAAAATGGGTCTGGGATGATAGTAACATGCAACTAATTACAATTTCACATGACCGTATACTGTTTCTCATCTACGTTTTCAAATTGGAGATTTCTAAATACATAAAAGTTTTAGTACATATTGTTATGGTGTTTTTCTATTAATTTTTTTTAATTAAATAGGTTAATAGTTACGTGTCACGTCAATATTTGATTTTTATATAGTGTATAATTTGGAAAAAAAAAAAATCACAATCTAAAGAACTTTAGGTTGGGTAATGTCAGACGACGATCATATTAGCAAGAAGAAATGATTGAATCCCCCTAGATGGGTACTCCAAAATAAGTTTACCGCAATGCATAGATGAGTGATGTTTTGCTATCCGATTAGTATAGTGTATAGACATTTCCTTCCATCTCTCAAAGGTTGAATCCCCAATTCGAAAAGCTCCCATACCTCGACCCGACAAAATATTTGGGAAAATATAAATCACGGTAACTCAATGACTCAGTAAAATTTCCATACTATTGCCGCCGAGGTTCAAACCTAGATCTCTTCTCTCAAATACTGTCTATTAAACCATTGAGCTAAGCTCGTGCAGACAATATAAAATGCAAATCTCAACAATTGGTTAAGGTTTCTTGGAAATTTCGAAAATTTCAGGGTCATAAAATGCTTGATAAATTGTATGTCAATTGTCATGTTTTGTGTAGCTCCCATTTGAAACACAAGAAAATAAATGAAATGCGTGTAATATATTCTAATTACTAATTATGGAATTGATCAAACCTCGTCTAAGCATTTAATGTATTAAAATGGTGACTAGGACATGGGGTTGTTGAGGACTATTGGGTTTGAATGGGTGTTTCACTGATTAATATTGGACGAATTTTCTTTGTCGGTAATTTTATCATTTTCTTAATTATTTATTCAAAGATTAAAATGATGTTCCAAAAAAAAAAAAAACAATGCATGTAAAAAAATTCTAAGGTATGAAATATAGATATTGCTTTAAGAGAAATTCAACACTTATTGATTATCGAGAGAGTAGTTAAGATCATAAGAGCTTATTTTATCATTACTTGTCGAATGTATTAGTTTTACGACTTAAATAGTCGACGACGGATCAACACAATCGGTCGGAAATAAAATTTAATTAAAGGAACTCTAGAAACTATGGTTGAGAATAAAGAAGATTGTCTGTATTATAAATCATTTTTCAAGGTATTTATATAATTCAAACAACCAATTAAGGACTTGGGCTGAATAAGAAAAGTAAATCACTTAAATCCAAAGCATTAATTACCGGTCAAAAACAATAAGGAAAACGATATCATAAAACTTGTCCAAGGATCTTCTAATTGCACTTCACATAAATAAAAGAATGTGTCTCTCAAGTTTCATATTAATGAACGTATTTTGTTATAATTGATAATTATCTCTGAAGGTTATAATAATAGGAATAAAATAGATAACCTAACTAATATGCTATTGACTAGGTAAGTAATACAATTATTCCTAATACAACAATTATTACTAATATAACAAATATAATAAATATATCTTAACACACCCCCTCAAGTTGAAGGTTGAAGGGAGACAACTTTGAGCTTGTCATGTAGAGTTTCAAAGTGCGGTGCTGGAAGAGGCTTCGTAAAAATATCGGCTAGCTGATTTTTCGTAGACACAAAATTCACCAAAAATCCCCAGAAGCAACCTTATCACGTACAAAATGAAAATCAATTTCGACATGCTTGATACGAGCATGAAACACCGGATTGGCGCATAAGTAAGTGGCGTCGAGATTATCACACCATAGTGTCGCCAGGGCACCCGAATCGAGACCCAATTCACGGAGTAGTGACACAATCCATGTTACTTCAGTTGCTACATCCGCTAAACCTTTGTATTCTGCCTCAGTCGAAGAGCGAGCAACGGTGCGCTGCCAGTGAGAAACCCAAGAAACCAAGTTGGTACCGAGAAACACCGCATACCCACTGGTCGACTTGCGATCTACTGGACACCCAGCCCAATCGGAGTCAGAAATGGCATGAATCTCTGAAGATGGCGAGGCTGAGAGACGAAGGCCATAGTCAAGCGTGCCTTTAACATACCGTAGCACACGCTTTAGGAGGCCCCAATGTTCAACTGTCGGAGCATGCATAAACTGGCATAGTCGGTTGACCGCAAAAGAGAGATCGGGGCGTGTGATAGTCAGGTATTGCAGAGCACCTACCAAGCGTCTATATTGAGTTGGATTATCGAATGCCTCATCAGCTGGAGTCACAGCTTTCGTGATGGATATCGGGGTTGCGAGGGGCTTGCAGTCTATCATACCAGCCCGGTTTAGGAGATCACCCATATAACGACGCTGAGAAAGAACCAGATTCCCGTCACTGAAGAGATTCTCAATACTAAGAAAGAAAGTCGGTTTGCCGAGATCTTGGATTTTGAACGTGGTTGCGAGGCGCTGTAGTAGTGAGTCAATTAGGGCAGTATCATTTCCTATCATAATTATGTCATCCACATAGACCAGCAAATAAACTCGGGTGGAGCCAGCTGAGTAGTGGAAGAGAGACACATCTGTCTTTGAAGCTGCAAAACCTGTATTAATAAAAAATCATGAAAATGCTTGAACCAGGCCCGTGGTGTCTGCTTCAGTCCATATAGGGAGCGCCGAAGGTGACAGACATAGTCTGGATGGCCGGGCTCCTCATATCTTGGTGGCTGCCGCATGTAGACGGTTTCAGCCAAATGCCCGTTCAGGAAGGCATTATGGATATCTAGTTGTCGCAGAGTCCAGTCACGAGACATTACAAGAGAGAACAGCAAACGTACCGTTGTCGGTTTGAAAACGGGACTAAAAGTATCAAAGAAATCTTCTCCTGCGACCCGGTTGAACCCCTTGGTTACTAGGCGCGCCTTATAGCACTCTATAGACCCGTCTGCTTTCCGTTTGGTGCGATATACCCACTTGCAACCAATGATATTCATGCCTGGCTTTGCTGGCACAAGTTCCCAGGTGTTGTTGTGAAGCAAGGCATTGAATTCTTGGTCTATGGCATCACGCCACTGTGGGTGACCAACAGCCTTGGTGTAACAGGTGGGATCTGCAGCGTCAGTGTTTGCGGCAAGTGCGTGGAACTTTTCACCAGTGCCTTGCGGCGCATTATATGGGCCCGCTGGTGTGGTTCATTGGTCCCACCTCTCCTGGGTGCACGGGCACCCTGATTGGCCAACGGTGCAACCTCCTCTATAGCCAGTTGAGTGGACGAGGGGTTTGATAGGTGTCTGACGGCCGATACCACTGGACTTGAGCCCCAGGGCATAACGGAGTTGGATGGTGACACGGTCCCCTGTATTTTAGATGCTGTAGAAAAGGGAAAAACAGATTCGTCAAATCGCACATGGCGACAGATAAAAGTCTTTCCAGTATTAAGGTTTAAGCAACAATACCCCTTAAATGACGTAGGATACCCTAAGAAGACACACGGGGCAGACCGATACTCGATTTTGTGGCTGTTGTAGGGACGTAGATATGGGTAATACAGGCACCCAAAGACTCGGAGAAACGTGTATGTGGGTGGAGTTTTATATAGTTTGAAATATGGGGTGTTGAATTGTAGAACTGAGGATGGGAGGGGATTTATGAGGTAAGTGGCTGTTTCAAATGCTTAGTCCCAGTATTTTAATGGAACCGAGCCTTCAGTCAGAAGAGCTAAACCGGTCTCAACAATGTGTCGGTGCAGGCGCTCTACACGATCGTTTTGCTCGTGTGTGTAGGCACAAGATTGCCTGTGTACAATCCCAAGAGTTTTAAACAAGGTTTGCAAACGGCGGTATTCACCCCCTAAATCAGACTGGATGTGTAACAACCCAAAATTTTATTTTATAAATCCAATTTTAAAAATTCTAAACTAGTCATTTTCACTCCATTAAAAAATTTTACGATTTATTGGTGTTTGAATAAATTATTTCCGTAACATTTTAAATTAATTCAACACCAAAATTTATTCTATTCGAAAATTCCTAAATTTTTGGGTACATCGCCGTACCAAGATTTAAATCGAGAAATTATCTGAGTGAGACCGGGAGAATTCAAAAAGATTTTTAAACAAGTGTTCATCTAAATAGCTTTTTGAGAAAATTATTTTTCAACCCCAAAGAATTTAAAGTTAGCATTTTCAACCTTGGTCCATGGAGCATGGTGGACCACTAGATATCCAAAAACACTTGCCTGATTCAATTTCTAGCCAATGGAAATTACATTTTTTCCATCAACCAATCATATGGGATCAACCTAGGGTTTTGTGCTCCTATAAGTAGAACCCTTAGCAGCCTTTGCCTCTTTGATTCCACTCCTAGCTTCCCATTTATCAGCTTTGCAAGACAACACACAGTAAGCTTCTTCAACCTTCTTCATTCAATCCTAGCTTTTCATTTCCTTAAGCTTATTTCTTCTCTGAGAACTTGATAGTATGCTAATTTATGGTTGTTGAGGTATCTAGGAGGTGAAAGAGGGTGTAGCTAGCTTGGGAAGAGGGGGGGAATCCATACAAGAAGAAGATGCAACAAGAGGTATAACCCCATGGATTCCTCTTTAAATTTGGCTCTGTGAAGCCTTAGTTATGAGTAGAAATAAGTAGAAACTATGAGTTTTTGATGTGTTCATGCTTAGAAGTGATTTAGTAATTGTTTGTGAGTTGTTGAGATTGTTTTGGACTTGTTTGGATTAGTTTTTGCAGATGAAAAACCATCTGGTGCACAACACAGTGTGCACCAGATCAAATGGACGGCCCTAGCCGCGGCCCATCAGGGGGGACGCCGGCTAGAGCCGTAGTGGCACGGGACTAGGGCACGGCCCTAGAGGAGGGCTGCCGCCTAGTCCCGGCGGAGTAGCGGGGTACATGGGGCGGACCATGAGGAGTCCCGCCCCAGGTCCCTGACTTTGATTCTGAGAAGAATCAGTGCAGTGGCCGGGCCCTTATGGTTCAGCTACGTGTCGTTTCGAGCCCTTGTGGCTTTGATTTCGTTGAATTTGGATTAAAAACGAGTCTGTTATGAAGGAATTTGTGAAAAATTGATACATAGAGTATATAAATTTGCTAAGTCTACTGTGTATGAAGAATTATTTGACTATGTGATCTGATGATGTTTTATTGAGTAAAGAAGCATGATCATTTGAGAATATGATTTATTATGAAAGCATGACTAGATTGTGATATTTAATCAATGAGAAATGAAGCATATTTTGTTGATAGAATGTATAGAATTTGCTATGTTGCAAACCGAGCATGACGTTATATTCTTAAGTATTTCATGTTATTTTATACATGGTTTAGGAGCATGTTATAGAGCATTTTGACATTTCACATGTGTCATATTTCAAAAATGCATAAGGGGCCAACGTGAGCCCAAGACTACTTTTAAAAACCATAAGCACGTGGTATATCATTCTTTGATGCATTGAGAAGTAGTAGAGTTTTTGCATGCATGAGATTGATGCATGAGAGATATATTTATGTATTATCTATATCGGTGAGGTTTTGGAGGATACCGTTTGGATTATGTCCTCTCGGGAGATATTTATGGACATTGTGGTCCCAATATATGTAACGCGGCGTATTCCCACGTTACGAGGTTGGAAACTGCCTGCCAGGCTTGGAATCCTGGTTAGGGGGTGTGCACACTAATAGTTCGATACCTGATTCCATAGAGTTTGAACCATGAGATTGGTTTCGTAGACGGTAGGAGATATTGGGGCGGATTTATGCCGTTCCCGATGGGGTAAATCACGCTGGTGAAATCCTAAGCCGTCTACGAGTATAGAGAAAGAAAGAGAGTCAAAAGAGACTCAAGAGAAAGAAAGAGAGTCAAAAGAGACTCAAGAGAAAGAAAGAGAGTCAAGAGAGACTCAAGAAAGTAAGAAAGAGACATCCACAAAAAGTACTCTATTTTTATAAAGAGTGTATGAGTATTTATATATATATATATATATATATATATATATATATATATATATATTATTGCACGAGATTGCATAAGAGTATGAGTATCCTGTTGCACGAGATTGCATATGAGTATGTTTATAGAGTTGCACGAGATTGCATATGAGTATGAGTACATTGTTGCACGAGATTGCATATGAGTATGAGTACATTGTTGCACGAGATTGCATATTAGTATGAGTATATTATTGCACAAGATTGCATAAGAGTATGAGTATCTTGTTGCACGAGATTGCATATTAGTATGTTTATAGAGTTGCACGAGATTGCATATTAGTATGAGTATATTGTTGCATGAGATTGCATATGAGTATGTTTATAGTATTGCACGAGATTGCATATGAGTATGATGTATAAGTGTTGCACGAGATTACATATGATTATGACTATAGTATTGCACGAGATTGCATATGATTACAGCTTTGCACATGAGTATGATTATAGCATTGCACAAGATTGCATTTGAGTAAAGTATCGCATGAGAGTACATAATGAGAATGTTGATTTATAATCGTTTGTTGTATTAGAAGTCTTGTTTATCGAATTATGAGATAAGAATATGAAAGCATGGGAATACCTGCTATATGGTTTATTAGCATGATCCTATCTGTAAGCATGAATTGCCTGTTAAGTTATTTGAGAAGTTTATATGCTGATTCATTTAAGTGAACAGTCTTTTATATATATATATATATATATATATATATATATATATATATATATATATATATATATATATATGAGCATGCCAGCTGATATAATAGGGTGCAAGCATTTAGAAAATATGTGTTAGATCTAAAGATGATTTGAGATGAGTTTATTGTTTATAAAGAAATCAAATGTTTTCAAAGTAAATGCTAGAATGCTTTACAGGGTTGAGTGTAGTTATACTTAGCTTCGTGCTAATGGGTGTTTTCCTATTTGTCTATGTGTTGCTTGCAAAACCCCTTTCAGGTGGGCCCAACAATGAAAAGAGATCGAGTTAGATTATTATCTTAGTTTGAGATGTCTAAACTCTAGTTTTATT